GCAGCTTTGATTCCCAAGGAGATTAAAAGCCATTCAGAAACCCAATTCACCCATTGAAAGAAAAAAAGAAATTAAAAAAAAGATGAAGAGGTTGCCTCTGGAAATTCTACCAGGTCTGAAGTTTGCGGTCTCTGTGAACGTGGGCCACCAGAGCATCCTGCTGAGCTGCTGCCTGATAAGGACTGTATATCCTGTCTTCTTTGTATCACTTTGCATGCAGCTCACATTACTTCATTTCCTTTCTGGAACCTTTCCCCGGATTCTTCATATAAGGTCAAAAGCATGAAAGAGACCTGCGTTGAGTTCTGGTGTCCTGAGTGACTTTTTCCAAATTTGTCCAGGCACTAATTTCTCTCTAAATCTCAGCTTTCTCAACTGAACTATGAGATCTTAATGATCATCTCTGCCCTGTGGATATCCCTTAATGTTTTGATGTATTCTTTATGAAATAAAACATAGAAAATATCTCTGAAAAATTTGAAAGTTATGCATTATGAACACGTGCGTTTTGTAAGGGGATTTTACAGAGTTTTATTTGCACAAGTTTTCTTTCTTTAGGTTTCTGGATGTGTTTCTTTGCTTTAGAGAATTGAAGCCATCAGGGTTGACCACACAGGAAGTTGGCTTTCACATTTAGATAAATAAGGAGGCAACCGAAAAACCTTCTGACCCCAAAATCTCTACCACACTGCAGCCTGACCCTCTACACTTTGCTTTGTCCTATTTAGTGTAATTTCACAGGTGAGATACCTTCCTTTGGTTTAACAAATACTGATTAGTAATTTAAACTTGTAATTCATTGTATATACATAGGAAGACAATCTTGCAAGTGAAATAACATGCTTTTAATAATCAGGACAACAGGTATCAACCAGGACTGTGCTGGGCAACCCATATTCATTTTTCATGCCTCTGCATGGATTTAAGTTGACTGCTCTCTCAGATCTCAGGCAGATTTCTTACACTTAAAAAATTGATTGTGAAAGGGGATGGAGGAGTAATAAGAAAATAATTAATTTTGCAATAAAGTTCAAGTTATTGTGGAGGACTTGAATAGCATGAGGGCCAGTGGATACCTACAAAGCCCACTGATAGCATATGTTCTTGGTAATTTGGCTGGTTTTTATGTTTTCAATGTCTGCTTACTGCCACCTGTATAAGTGCTGATTTCAACAAAATATTTTGGCTGCTCTCCTAAAAACAAGTAGAGAAAAATGATTTCAGAACAAAAGTAATAGATTTTGATCAATGTTATAATGTTTAAAAATATTTATTTTCATAAAGTAAGATCTCTAGAAACATCACTTTCCTGTGTCCAAGGGCATATGAAACAAATATTACATATATTATACATATATATGTTATATATAACATCAATTACATATATTACACAATGGCATATATAACATATATTGCATATATTATACTTTTATTATTACATATATTATACATTAATATATAAATATATATGCATGTGTTTGTATATATAGACATATGTAAATATATATATATAATATCCATTCACCTGATTATGGCTGTGGAAGCAAGAAAACTTGAACATATAAAAAAGTGTTTTAATGTCACGAAAGCTGTTACAGTTGGTTGTAGGAGGCTGCAGCTTCCTCTGTCTGTCTGTACCCTAGACAGACAAGCGTCACATTACATCATATCAGCAATTAGGCTGAGACTACTCAGTTATTATCTGTTAACATCTTACATGAAATGTGGAACTTTTCCTTCTCATGACCTGAATCAAATTGTTATTCCTTTACTTATCGTTAAATACCTAATCTACACAAACACTGTGGTAGAAAATTAATTTTCTCATTTATGATGTTTTCTTCCCGAAAACTTTATAAGTTGGATGCTGATACCTTCATTGTACACATAACGAAGCCAAAATCCAGTGGAGTTGTATAACTTTCCCAAATCTGCATAGCTAACAAATGCTTGAGTTGATATTCACATACATTATTTCATGTATATATCCAACAAATATTCGTTGAACTCCTTCTATGTTCTAAGCCTTATTATAGGTACAAGTTATTCATTGTTGTATAAGACAGCCATGTCCCTGCTCTTAAAGACCTTACTTACCAGTAAGGGAAGTAAATATTAATAATTATTATCTTAAAAACTATATATATATTTATATACAACTGAACTACAAAGTCTCAGATGATATTATGTTCTATAAAATAAAAGAGTGAGGTAATAAGTCATGACCAATGGGAGGTAATTTGTGCGGGTGGTCATGGAAGGTCTTATTGAGTAGGTAATATGTAAGGTAAATATAGATGAGAAGAAAGACTTAGCCATGAAAAATCTGAGATCAGAGGGAATAAGGGCAAGAGCACAGCCAATAATACGAAAATAAGCTCAGCTTTTTCGAGGAACATTGTGAAAGTCAACACAACTGGCCTATAAGGAGTAAGAGGCAACATTGTGGGAGAGAACTATCTGTAAACACTACTCTATTTTGCGTGCCTGTTAGCCTGCTAATTGCTCTGAAACATTCAAACTTCGCAGGTAGTCTGTGTCCAGCTAAGAAAATTAGAATTTCACACTTATATGGGAATCATCAGAGGGGAAGATGTACATTGGAAAATGGTACAACTGGACCATGGCTTTTGTGTCAGTCCAATAAGCTGTTGAAACACCCTGCTTTGCACTGGAAGACACAGCAAAGGTTACCAGTGTGCGTAAGTATGTATTCTTTCCTTCTCTTTATATCCCATGGACTTGGAAGATTGCAGATTTATATATATATATATATATATATAAAATCTCATGCATTCTTCACAACGTGCTGTGTGTAACTAGTGTCAAAGTGCGGACATTAACCCAGATTCCCAACTCTAGGAGATGAAATAAACATTTAAAAGATTGAAGTTTCTTTAACCCAAAGAAATTAGTAAAAACATCAGCTATTCCCTTAAGTACCAAACTTCACTTCCCCTTTGTCATTCATCAGCAGTACTCAAGTATGCCCTTGCTACCCATTGGCAGTGTAAAAGCATTCATTTCTCAACCCTAAGATCCCACTAACCTCCCTGAGCAGCACTTTATATTTTGGAACTTTTATGTTTTTTATACATACTCTTTCATTAACTCATATTTATTAATTCACTCATTCAACAATATGTACTCAGTACATACTAGGTTCCAGTTACTACGTCAGATGTTAGAGTCACAGAAGCAACAAGTCAGAAAAAGTCTTTACCCCCAAGCAGCTTACAGTCTGGTAAAGAAAGTAGGTGATAAACAATAATGTAATGTCAGATCTTGACAAGTGACATAGAGAGAGATAAAGTCATGTGGAGTCATAGACTAGGAGGTTCTATTTTACATAGAGAAGGCAAGTGAAGACCTCTCCGGGTAAATGATAGTTGAACAGTGAGTGAACTGAATTAAAGGGAGGGCAAAACATGTAACTAGACAGAGGAAGAACCTTTTAGAGAAAATGCATGACCCTGTAGTGGGAGGATGCTTGACATTTTTGTGGAACAGCAAAGCCATGACTATTGAAGAGGGCAGTGGCTACGGTAGGAGAGGTAGCCAGGGGCCAGATCATGGATAACGCAAAGTCTTCTCAAATATACAAGAAGGTCTTTGGATTGTACGGTAATTTTGATAAGAAGCCGAGTCGAGTGGGAGAAGTGAAGAGGTGAACTTCTCACCAAAATGATATTACTTAATTATAAAACAACCCCTCTAGCTGCTATGTGGAAAACATACTAGGAACTGAGTGAAAAATAAAGAAGAACAAAGAGAGTTTTAGGACCAACGTGCACCTCTTCATGTCTTAGGTAAACAAATAAATATGATGGTCTAACTAGCCTACAGTAGATGGTAATTTTCTACCCACTTAACCATACATTTTCACAAAGGCTTTATTCTGGAAACAGAATATCTGTACTCTAAAGTCATATTAATGATAAAGTTTGAGGGGACTAAGATTATTAACCAGAGTGATGTTTTTATCACCTCCTTAAATCACTAGACACAGATATTCTACATTCATTTTGTGTTGGCCTTAATAACTTATCTGGATGATGTTGTTACTATGGCAATATATTTTTATAATAATCATTCTCAGATGTCCAAAGTGTCAGAGATATATGAAAATAATAATCTAGAAGATTGGAGAAAAATAGAATAAGATATTACTGAGGGGAAATAGGGCAGTCTAAATGACAGTAAAATATGATATGAAAATTAACAGGAGATAAATGAAACAGATCATTTAAGGTAAACAATTTTAGAACACAGAAAGGAAGTTCCAGCCACAAGGTCTATTTCCTCCATTAACCCAACCACTTACTAAATGATACCTTGAAAAACTAGTCCCCAGGGATGAATCGAGTGACACATTTCTGAAAGCCAGTTTATAGCTTGCTAAGTTAAACTCTTCCAGACTGGAGAAAGATCCATGAGAATAGAGGTGGTAACTTTCTTATTCAACAATAAATCCTCTAACCCCAAACAGTGTCAGGTTCATAGTAGATGTTCAATAAAATAATAGTTGTTAAGTATATGATTATATGAATGAATGGGATTCCAGGGATATATTACTCCCCACATTACTTCCATCTCAAAGATAGGAATCCCTAACTTTTAATTCTTTGCTTAGATATTCTGTTTCCTAAATTATTTGTTTTCTACAAATTTAAGAAAGGATATCTCAGATTCTGGGAAAATCTCGCCTGTCTCTTCACGCTGCACCTACAATTGTGAGAAAGCACATTTCAGACAGCAGGGAAAACCCGTAGCTCACGACAACACCACGTTGTAAACTGTTTGGGCCCCTAGAGCATGAATTAAAGAGGACAGGAGTAGCTGAACGATCCAGAGGTGAGAGGAAGTGGGTGGAGACAATGTGACTGAATATAAATGCTAAGATATCTCAGAGACTCAGAGACGGAACAAGAGCTCCAGCAAAGACTCACTGCAGACTGGCTTGACCTGGGATTAACCAAGGGATCGTGACGAGGATAAAGATGAATTCTGAAGATTGTTCTGCAACAGAGACCAGCTCCTTGCATCTGAAAAGGGGACAACAAAGTAAGTCACGTCTTACTCCTCATATACTGGTAGCATCTATCAATATATCTATATTTATATATATCTACCTACCTTTCTATCTATCTATGATATATAACGGTAGTTAGGGGGAAAATGAAGCTTGTCTTTTGAAGAACTTGGTTACATTCTATTTCAGTTGGGATAAAGGAGAAAATGGGGAAGAAACAAATATTTCTTTTTCTATGAGGAGACAAATAGAAACTTGAGGGGAAATCACAAGGGTGAATTTCAGAAGCTCTCTAAATGTTTGTTTCTTTGTTTTAGTTTATATCATCTCAATGTTTCATATTTAATTAGAAACCTCACTGCCCTAGCCCAGTGAACTGTCCATCATTTTCCCATATCCATCCTACAGGAAGCACTGACTCCCTTTACGGAAAACTGTTTTCCACATAAACAATTACATTCTTGATTGCCTTTACCTTGTACCATTTTGTGCTTTCTGTGTGTGCCTTATCTTGTGTTCTCAAGAGAGCATCCTCTAGTTGCTGGGAACAAAGGTTTCTAATTTTTGAGAGAATATCCATATAAACATCTGAACATTTACAGTGTCCAATGGTAACTTATTAGGAGAAAGTCATGCAAGAATTCTTGAAGATGAAATCTTCTGTATTCTTTATGGGACTCAGTTCACTCTTCCATTTCACCCTTCTAATTGTGGGCTTCATATTCTACATGAATCAGATGTTTTTCTTCCTTTCTTTTATTTTTCATCAAAATACGATCATCTTTGCTATATACTTTTTCTTCTTTTCTATTTGTCTATTCTGTCCTCAGACCTTTCTATTTTCGATCACCAGGATTTTCCCATTGTTTTACAATAATTTGTTTTGGTGAGGATTTCTTGATTGGTTTCATTTATCTCTCTCTTCCTCTTTAATTAGTGAGATGCCCCAAGCACTAGCATGTAGGAACTAGAGTTTATTTGTAAGCAAACCTAACCAGTAACAAAGAATGTGTTATGAACAGCAGAGCTAAAAAAATCTAGAGGAAGGGATTGTTTTCTGAGTATGGGTCTACTAGAGTGGTTTGCTTTAGAAAAGCATTCATTACCTCTGATAAACCCATCTTTCACTTAAGGACACAAAATCAAGTGTGGATAACAAGTACAAGCCACACAAACTTTTTTTTTTTTTTTTAAATTTTTATTTATTTATAGCTGTGTTGCGTCTTCGTTTCTGTGCAAGGGCTTTCTCTAGTTGTGGCAAGCGGGGGCCACTCTTCATCGCGGTGCGCGGGCCTCTCACTATCGCGGCCTCTCTTGTTGCGGAGCACAGGCTCCAGATGCGCAGGCTCAGTAATTGTGGCTCACGGGCCCAGTTGCTCTGCAGCATGTGGGATCTTCCCAGACCAGGGCTTGAACCCGTGTTCCCTGCATTGGCAGGCAGATTCTCAACCACTGCGCCACCAGGGAAGCCCCTCACACATACTTTTTGGTAACCAGATTGCCATAACTTGATGGCTCAGCTGAGCTGCCCAAAAGAAAAAATATATTTAAGAATAAAACCACTCAATAAACAGCATAGTTGAAAGAAGAAAGAGCTATTGTAGCAATTCTTAACTTTTCCTGAGATCATTCCAATTTTCTGTTGAATATTTAATTTATGAATGTTTAGCCTATGCTGCTATTTGTACTTGCTTCATTAGTATAAACAATTATTGAGCACCACCCTTGGTGATTCAATATGTACTAGTGGATTTGTTTTCAATTTCCCCATTAATGGACAGGGCTTGTAATCAGAGCAGAAGTATGCTCTTAGGGGAGTGTTTTGTTACCAGGTGATAAGTCAAACTGAGTAACAGTAGCCCTCACTAATGGATATAAAGTACAGTCTGAGAATCATCTCCATAGCTTACCCACTGGATAAGCCAATAGAGTGAGTCCAGTGGATAAGCCAATGGGCTCTGGCGTCCATGAGTTACTTGGATGTGTTGGCACTTGCTAAAGAGCCAGAGCTGTCCCTGCTTTGAGTTTGAACCCCATGATTGAGTCTCACATGGTAAGAAGTGAAACTAGACAGAGAGTTCTGAACTTGCTACCCTAGCTACAAAAGGCTGCTTCCGGTGACAGTTGTATGCTGGTGAAAAAAAAGAAGGTTTGCTTTAAGAAGCTGAGAGAAATAGAGCCAGATAGGAGTGAAGTAAAGCCTTCTCTTGCAAAACCTGAATGCAGATCTATGCTGGGAAAAATAATCCTCAGAAGAAGCAACAGTTGATGCTGACATCCATTACATAGCAAAATTACTGTGAAAGAAAGCAGCATCTCTCTGCCTAGTTTAACCTTAAAGAAATGCTTTAAGGAAAAAAAATACACGAATTTCAAGTTGTGTCTGTATGGACATCCTTTTAATTATGAAAGCCCCCCATACTTAAAAATAGGATATTTTTGCATATTGAGACTATTTTTTATGGTAAGTTTTAATATCATTCAAGTAGTTATTTTACATTTGTTTTTGAGAGCATAATAGGGATCTATATATTTCCTGTGAGGCCGAATTTTAAATATCCTGATAGCTCATCCTAGCAAAAATCAAATTCAAACTCTGAGTCACAAAATTCCCCTCTCTCCTTTCTCAATTATTTATTTCTAATCTAGAACAGATATCTTTCTGGTTTTGTTGTTGGTGGTGATGGGCTTTTTTTGGTAACTAAGAATCATCATTCACATCATATTCATATTCTAAATCCTTCCGCAAAAATATTTCTCATTGATGAAATAAAACTTTTACTTGGTTTTAGCATTATACAAAGGATAAATGAAAAAACCGATTTCCACCCAATATTTAGTCTATAATACTGTTAAATTTCCTCTGTTATTTTAACTTTTCTTGGAAAATTCAAACAATTGACATACAATGTATGCACAGATCATACATATACAGTTTAATGAGTTATAACTACAACTCAAATCAACATTTGACATTTTCCATCACCCCAGAAAATTTCCCTGTGTTCCTTTCCAGTCAAATTAATTTTCCAACACATAAAAGCAATCACTTTTCTCATTTCTATCATCAAGTTTAGTTCAGCTATTCCTGAATGTCATATAAATGAATATATACAGTATATAATTGTGGCTGGATTTTTTTCGCTCAACATTTTTTTGTGTGATTCATCCATTTTGTTGCATGCATCAGTTGTTCCATTTTTTAAATTTCTGAGTAGAATTTCTTGTATGGGTATACCATAATTTGTTTATCTGTTTTCCTGTTGATGGATAGTTGGTTTATTTCTAGGATTTGGCTGTTAAGAATAAAGTTGCTCTGAACATTCTTATATAAAACATTTTGAAGACGTATTTTCATTTCTCTTGAGAAAATAATAGGAGTAGAGTTTCTGGATCATAGGATAAGTGTATATTTATTTATGTAAGAAATAGTTTTCCAAAGTATTATTTTCCATTCTACTCTCCCATTCAGTAATATATGGAAATTTCAATGCTTCACATCTACCAAATTCACAAAAAAGTACCATCCATCTTTTTTTAAATTTTTAGTCATTCCAGTTGTATATATTTTTATATCAAGTCAACATTTTTTATTATATCACCTACATTTATACCCATTTATACCATCTCCCTTAAACAGTAACTACAGAGAAGTTAAGGGATTGTACATAGGATGTTCTTTTTATATGTCTTCTAGGGTAATCAGGTATTTACTAAATGTTCTTATTGTGATTAAAACAATACAATTATGATATATTTAGAATTTTCATAGCTACTGAGTACATATTTGGGGGAGATATTTTATGATATCATTATTGTGACTGGATTGTTTTATTTCTAGCCAAAAATAAACTATCCAAATTCACTCAACACTTGAGGGAAATTAACTTATAAATTTCATATAAGAAGATAGGGAGACACATAGCTATTTTTTTATTTTAAATGCCTCAAGAGAAAATCAGATGTCCCTTTCTTACTTCTATAGCCTGCTTGAATTCATCATCTACTTTCTCTTTTCAGATAATGCCACCAGGCTTCATTTTGCGGCATATCATGAAGGGTCCATTCAAGTTCCCATCCCATGTGCTGTAGTGAACGTGGTCTTCATCACCACTCTAATCATAGCTCTCGTTGCTTTATCAGGTGGGTCTGCACTTCATGAATTCGTCAAAATTTCTGATTAATTTAGGACAGTCTCATTTTTCATACATGGCCAATTTCCTAGGAAATGCTAAATATGATTCCACATTCCTTGAATAATTGATGCAATACTTTTGTTTAGTTTTCTAGAGTTTTAGAAATATTAAAAGTGCTTATGATTTATACAATATTGTGGGAGAAAATTACATGTGAGCAGATGTTTAAATCTGGAATAAAAGGGATCGATTTAGAGTCTAAATATATAAACGTTTAACTGGAAAAATGTAGGTTGCACATTCATTGTTGATGAAAAAAATAATATCTAAGCCATAGATTAATCAGGAATTGGTCAGTCTCTTATCTCAAAAGCCACAGAATATATATATAGATATAGAATATATCTAGAAGCTCCCAGAGGGTCAGTTGTGTTATGGTATTCGAAACATACAGCTATACCAAGATACATTTGTGTCTTATACAAACATGAAATTTTACAGTTTTATGATACATCCCCAGCCATAAATTTTTGTGTATTCTGAATTGCTCCCCTGCAAAGTATTCTCTCCTCTACCTTCCAATATAGGTCTGTATATCCTACATCTTCAAATTCTTCCCCATCTGCATTCAGATGCAAAACCTTACTTGGAATTTTAATGTATTTTAGCCTTTCTAGTCCAAAGACTATTTTCAAGATTTTTAAATTTACCCTCCACTTTCTGACCAAAGTGACTCCCTCTTATTTCTTATACGTATAGTGCAATGATGATTAGGCACAATGAGAGATCAGATAAAGTGAGAAACTGCCTTCTTCCTACTCTTTCCAGAATTCACCTTCCTTTTTGATAATTTAAATGGAGTATAACCTATAAAAATTTTGAATCACCATGTTGTACACCTGAAACTAATATAACATCTCTCATCAACTCTACTTGAACAAAATTTAAAAAAAAAAAAGAATTCATGAAAAAAAAGAATTCAACTTCTTTCCTCTCTTTGTTTATCACCTAGCACAGCACAGCATCCCCTGAACTTGTTTTGCACACTGTGGGTATTCAGTTTCTTGTGTTACTAAAACAACACTTTTCCTGTTCACAGTGGGCCAGTACAACTGTCCAGGCCAATATATGTCCTCGGTGCCACCAAACACCCATGTTTCTTCATGCTCAGATGATTGGATAGTATACCAGGGGAAATGCTATCTTATTTCCAAGAAAACAAGGAACTGGACCTTGGCCCAAAACTTTTGCTCCAAACACGGTGCCTCTCTTGCTGTCATTGATTCTAAAGAGGACATGGTAAGATAGTATTCAAAAACAATTCCATAAGATATTGTTATTCTATTTTATATAGCTACTCTGTGGTTTCCTTTTGTTTCCTTCTAAGGGAAGACATTGTATCTGTCTCCCACCCAGGAAAATTTAGTCAGAGAAAGCCACATGATCAGTCTGAGGTCAAAATAAGAGTTCAATTTCGTCTTTAAATGTGATTTGTTTATAGCCTCAAAGGCCAAAAATCCACATGAGCTGAACCTACATAGAACTAGTGAATAATCAGCTTAGCTATCATGCCTTCGAGTTGCAGATTTAAGAAACAAGATTTATTACATATGTATCAGGAGGGGTGGTTTAACATACAGTTCCTTTGTGCTTTCTTCAAGATCTTTTTAAAACAACATGTGGGTAGAACTGAACACTGGATTGGGCTGAAAAATGAAGCTGACCAGATGTGGAAATGGTCAAATGGCAAAAAATTTAATAACTGGTGAGTTTCAAGATATCTCTTTATCCTCCCCAGGATGGCAGCTCAAGGGAACCACTTTCCTTTTTTCCTTTAGAAGAGTACTGTTCTACATGAAGGTTGAGCTCTTTATAAGCAGAACTTTAACAATCTCTTTTGTATGTTATACTCTACGGACTTCTTTAAAGAAGGGCTTTAATATTATCATTTTTTTTCTTTTTATCTGCTTGGAATTCATACGATAAATGCTTCTTAGTAATTTGATCTCAGCAAATTTGAGTGGAGTAAAACTCAGAAATATTAATTCATACGATAAATGCTTCTTAGTAATTTGATCTCAGCAAATTTGAGTGGAATAAAACTCAGAAATATTCCAGGTATAAATATGATGATGGGAAAAAAATCCAACATTTCCAATCTCATATTTATATTTTATTGACAAGCTAGTAATTCCCTTTTTGCTTTCCCAGTTCTCATCTCCACAGAGATAAAGAACAATATTTTCAATACCTAATTAGAAGCTTCTATGGATCTGAGAGAAAACCTGCCCCAGAATTAAAGATGCTGACTTTATTGCCATTACCTGTACATTTTAAAGTTTGAAGGACATCGTACAAGTTTAGTGTTAATCTTTGTCATCTGAAAACTCAGACTTGAAAGAATTTCTAGCTCCCTAAATAGTTTTATGAAAATTAAAGATACAGAAAATTAGTTTAAATCTCTAGAAAAGGAATCCTTGGTATGTATCACACCCACAAATGGGCACCAGGGACTGTTACCCTCTAAAACTCTATGCGCTAGTATACATGATTGTTGAATGTTTATACTTTCTGGGAATGGTTTGTGAACTCAAAAATGAACGAGTCACTCCTGTGGTGATACACCAACCAAACAAATGGAGCCCTCCACTCTTAATTTTGTATCTTCTCACCACATACTATTCTTTTGGGTCTTTGTCTACTGTCTCTGCAGATTACTCTGTGATCATTTGATTGGCGCACTTGCCTCGTGCATTCCTACTAAGAAAAAAAAAAAAGCAGAAACCACCACCTCCACCACCACAAAGTTGATTCTCATGTAACTGAACGGAAATGATAAACTGAAAATAATTCTGGTGTCTTTATTGTTGACAGGTTCAACCTTACAGGATCTGAGAACTGTGCATTTCTGAACAGCACAGAGGTCAGCAGCACAGAATGTGAAAGGAATTTACACTGGATATGTAGCAAACCCTCCAAATAAAGAGGAATCATATTTGCTTATATACTATTCTATCATGGAACTCAAGGAAATGTGTGTTGACGAATGGTGCTCTATGGTCAGAAGTTTTCCATAAAGACTTTGTGAAAAAAACTTTTTACTATTTTGGAAATTTTCTTCCAAACAAGACTGTGGAAAAAAGGGAGAAAAATTCCAGGAATATCTGCACTGTGGAATAGTTCTGCCATGAGCTGAAAATGTTACAGGTTGACTAATTTTGTCCCAGAATGAGAAAAATGACTTCAACGCTTTTGAATGCACTTTATATTTTTTAAATTCAGAAATAATAAGGTAACTAAGTTTAGAGTTATTATTTATTGTTGAATGACTGTGAACAACGTGTGCCCTTCATGCATTTGCACTGTATGAAGGAATTAAATAGTAGTATTAAAAGCTGAATGTAAACAGAGGAAATTTTAACTGGCAACAGAGGTATTTAGACTAAATGCATTTTTTTTGAACTCAGAGGACATTTATAAATGGGCAAATGCTTATGAAATGAAGCTTTGTAATGTTTCTCTCTTTTTAAAGAAGTTTGTCAAGTTACTTTGTCATTTTCCCCCCAAAGAATACGGGGTGATCATATATTTACGTTGGTCTTTTTTTTATCACTTCTTCAGCGTAGACTTGTCTTTTTCAATGGTACATAATTTATTGCCTTATACACAGTGTTTTACAGAGATAAGGACAAAAACAAAGAATATGAGGAATATTTGTAAAACAGATAAAAGTGTTGGAAAATGTGCAATATGTGATGTGGCAAATCTCTATCAGGAAAAAGTCTGTATTGTTCAAATCTGGAATAATACTAGTCCTACCTGATTATTAGCCTTGTGCCTTTCCTGATCTATTCTCCTTTCCTGATCTATTCTATCATGTGCAATATTTCACGTGAAGTATTTTCTAAGTGCAATAACGTGTGTTTGTTTGTTTGTCTTTTGTATGCAGTGCAATTATAACCTGCTTTTACGTATGTTAAGATGAAAGTAGCATAAACAAAATGGTTTCTAAAAAGTGGTCATTCCTTCAAAATATATTAAAACATATCTCATGCTAGAAAGGAAGAAACAGAATACTGTAACTTTTTTTCAAAGACACTTCTACTGTAAAACCTTAGATTTATAATATGGTTTGTACTTTGTAAGTTGTTTTCATGTGTGTTTTCCAAAGGCTCTATCTACTTTTCTGTAAACAGCAAAATTTCAGTAAATATTCTAATTGACTTTAGAGGAATTTATGTCATCTAAAAATTTTTGACTCTATCACTTTCTCTCTTTCTTTTATTGTTTATCACCCTGAAGAGGCACAGAGAAATTTGGAGACGGCTAAAGTCACTTTGCAAGGATTTATTTATAAGCTCGTCCTCTCTCCAAAAGAGAGGATAATTCGTCCTCATAACTGATGTTCTGAAAGCATCTTGTTCATTTCTGAAATGCTATACTAGTAGTTATTTACATAAAATAATTCATTCAATAGAAATAAGGCACTACATAATCTTCATGAGATATTTCAATAAGGAAAAATAATACTACCTTCAAAATTGTTTTATGAAGGTATTTCACAATATTCTCCTTCTCTGAAAATTGGAAATGAATGCTATATGTAGTATCTTTAAACTGTTGTCACTAGTATGGCATATTGAAAAGAAATCTGGATTCCAGACACTGCTTAGTGATAAATAATATAGAGTTTCTTAATCTCAGTGTCCTTCAGTTCCTACAGGCTCCAAACTCTGATATCCTATCATTAATAACAACAATCTACTCCTGAGTCATGTTAGAAAGCAACGTCTTGGATCCACGCACTATGAAATGTGTGAGGGAAAGTGTAGATGTTGAGAGCTGGAGTGAAAGAGAAATACTGTCCAAGTTTCATTTCTGCTTCTCTCTAGTTGACCAGCTGTTTTAGTTAGAATTAGGTAGAAATTTCGTTAAAATTAGCTAGAAATTAAGCTAGTTAATACATGAAAATGGACTTAGAAGAGCACCTGGCTCACAGTGAACCCCAAAGATGTATTAAATTTTAGTGGTGATCATTATAAATGGGAACACCATGCCCTCAAAGTAAGTTTAGCAAAAAGCAGCATTTCTACATGATGTGTCTATTTCTACATAGCATTTTTTGAAAAAAAATTTATTCAGTGAATGATTATTAAGCAACACTGTGGTGGACAGTAAAGTTAAAACACTAAGCAAATTTGGCATGAAAACTAGTCTTGGGGAATTTATGGTCTATTTGTAAAATAAACAGTAAAGTAAAGGGTTATATTATGGTGGTGATGGAGCCTTACAGCAGGGAATATGTAGGATGCTGTGGAAATATATCACAGATATCCTACTTTATTTGGTCCTGTATTCAAACTTTTAACTATCACTTTTCTGTGTTTTATTTGGTTTTTCCAACATAATTTCAATTTCTTCCTCTGGAAAGGGGAATAATAGTTTACCTGCTTATCTCAGATGATTGATTATAGGGATTCAATAAGTTTAAAAGTATTTTTAAACAGGGTAAGAGCTGGGTTTCCCTGGTGGTGCAGTGGTTGGGAGTCCGCCTGCTGGTTCAGGGAACATGGATTCGTGCCCCAGTCTGGGAAGATCCCACATGCCGCGAAGTGGCTGGGCCCGTGAGCCATGGCCGCTGAGCCTGCGCGTCTGGAGCCTGTGTTCCACAACGGGAGAAGCCACAACAGTGAGAGGCCCGCGTACCGCAAAAAAAAAAACCCGAAGTTGACAAAATTTGACATCTTTATTAAGTCTTTTACTCCATGCCATGATTTAATTCTCCATTAAATTCTTTAATTTTTGTCTTCTTTAATTTCTATCTTTAATTTCTTTCTATACGTTATAGATTTTTGTATAGAACTCCTATATATCTCTTTAAATTTATTCCTAGGTATATTACATGTGTATATTACCATTGCAAATGGTATCTGGTAGGTGAAGGGGAGCAGGACTTGTCACCTCAAAATATGTCTCTTTGGCTTAAGGATCATATTACGCCGATTATTTAAAAAAAATAAAAAACAGCATTCACAGGTGAAGCTCTGAAAACTGAATAGAAGTTACCCTTTTGTAAGAGACATTTACATTTATAAGGGAAATCTCCATTTGTAAGGATGTCTCCCTTTCTGTACAGGAAGAGATGGGACTCTAAATGTCTAGAAAATCTTAGCGGAGAAGGCAACATCTTAAATCTGTGGAACAATCTTACCCTTGTTTACTGTGCTTTTCCTGGTGGCCTCCATACCTGGCCGCCCTTTCCCTCCCCAACATCTTCTTTTGTCTTTACCTGGAAATATTATTTAAGGTTATGGTTCGGATCATTCTGAGGAGTTACTTGGTTTTCCTGGTTCTCTCCCACATACACAGGAGGTATGCATGTTATTAAACTTCTGTTTGCTTTTCTCCCATTAATCTGCCTTTTATTACAGGAGGTGTCTCAACCAAGAACCTGGAAGGGTAGAGGGAAAATTATATTCCCTCCCCCACGTAGACAAGATAGTCGCCCCAAAAGATTCACGACTTGGAAAATGTAAATATGTAACATCACATGGAAAGAAATTCAGATGGAATTAATGTTACCGACTTCCAGATAGATTCTCCTGAATTGGCCAGGTAGTCCCAAACTAATTACAAACATACCCTGGAGTTTTACTGTGCTTTGCTTTATGGCATTTTTCACAGATTGAGGGTTTGTGGCAACCCTGCATCAAACGAACCTATTGGTGCCATTTTTCCAACAGCATTTTCTTGCTTCACATCTTTGTTATCACTTTTTGGTAATTCTCAAAATATTTCGTTATATTATGGTGACCTGGGATCAGTGATCTCTGGTGTTACTACTGCAAAAAGATTATGACTCATTGACGGCTGAGATTGCTCCTGGTGAATTTAAGATTCTTGCCTTGTCATGAAAGAATTCGGAGACAAAGCGGGGAGGTTAAGAAAGCAAAGTGATGATTTACTTACGCAAGAATACGTTCTCAGAGGGAGAGAGCAGACAGGTGAGGAACTGCTACCCAGGGTTTCTTTGGCAAGCCAGTTATGAGGGGCTTACAAATGAAGGAGCGGAATATTCACTGGGGAAGGAGGAGTTTGGGGATCGTATTCCCTGATTTTCATCCCAGCTCCTTCTTCCTAAGGGGAGGAGGGATTTTTGTCCTTATTTAGCTTAGACCAGAAGTGTCATGGCGTCAGTGCATCATGGGTATTTCTTATCTGCAAGGCTAATTCCATTGCAATGAGAGCAAAATGAGCAACAGGTTACATTCGGATGCAGGAGATTCCCACTTTCCTCACCTTTCTTTGTCTGCTTCCAGGACACTTACCACCCAAAATGTCTGGCTTCCTTTCAGTCTGGAGGTTCTTGCTTTTCTTTGTGTACCCATGGACCCCCACTGTTTACAAGATGCGTGATTTCCTGCCACCTCTCCCCTGCCCCCATTTCTCTGCTCACATCTAACTACCTGCCTGCTGCAACAAGACGATGGCTAGCATTTTTTAGCAATAAAGTATTTTTAAATTAAGGTATGTTTTTGATTTCTTAGACATAATTGCTATTGCTCACTTAATAGACTACAGTATAGTCTAAACATACCTTTTATATGCATAGGAAACAAAAAAAATCTGTGTGACTCACTTTATTGTGGTGGTCTGGAACCAAACTGAGGCAGGAGATAGATGGGCCCCAGGCTGAAGAGCCGGAGTCCGTCCCCTGTCGACAGATACTCCAAAATAGCAGGAGAGAGGAGAAGCTGAGCCCTGCCCAGATAAGAGATAAAAGACCACATATTCCTCATTCTCGATGTCAAGGAGACCTTCCTGACTACACATGTGCAGAAAGGCCCCTTGAAGATCAAAAAGGGAGGGGGCGCCACCTCGTAATAAGTGATGCCAACTACCCATAGGCCTCTTCACTAGAATCCATCTTGGCTAAGAGATGTGTGCACACATGTGGGAGGACCCTGAGATAAACCAAATACGGACCCAGAACCAGGTGAAGCAAGACGATTGGCCAAAGGAAGCCCAGAAGAAATGCCC